ATGCTACCATGTAATATGTCTGACTGTATTATTGTATTATCTCTCATGCTCTCGATGACTTTAATATAATGCTTATATATCTCAACCGTACAATTGTGCATTACTGAACCCAGAAGTAGTATTACTGAGCCCGTGATCAGCGGGTGGCCCCTCACCCCCCATAGCCATTTTAATTTAATACTACAGATAATGAGATGTTGTTAATCTACGGCTCTTATAAACAAGCCACCATGGGTGACATAAACACAGATAGACCTGGAATGTTGGACTTTAAAGGCAAGGCCAAGTTGGATGCCTGGAGTGAATTGAAAGGGACCTCCAAAGAAGATGCCACGAAAGATTACACAGACAAATTAGAACTGAAGAAAAAGTAATAGACTCTAAGGGACTAGATAAGTATGTCAGCCAAGCTTTGATCCTATCAGATGGAATGCCCTATTCTTTCTCATATTGTGGTTGGTGGGAGCAGATTGTCTTTAAACTCCAGAAAGGAATTCCTGGGCTTCTGAGTAATAGAGTGCATTTATGGGACAGTCTGAACCTCATTTCCTTCTTCAAGTAGTACAGGACCATTACATTCCACAGTTTAGGCAAGCTCAACCCAGGGAGCTGATGCCCAAGATGGTCTGACCTTCTGTTCCCTGGGAGGCAGCTGAAACAGAGCACTCTGAAAAATATCAGTTTCAGGAGTTTAGAGATTTATTTTTATTTATTTTGAGGTTAGAGATTTATGTTAAGAAAATTTGAAGTGTAACAAACTCCTTAGAGCCACGGGATGGCATATTTGTGTGTGCCTGTGAACACAAGACTTTTGTTTACTTCACCAATTGTTTTTGTTTGTTACTAATCTCTTTACTTGTCACTTGGAACACATCACAGTATCCTGCCTGGATACAAGTGTGTATCTCCTAGATTTGTGAATTACTCTACCGCACAAAAACAAAAAGTTTGTTTTTTAATTTTATTTCTGGAAGAGTGTAAACTTTCATCTTAAAACAGCATTTTAATATTAACAATGAGACTTCACATACTTTAAACCACAGTCACCATACCTTTCTAAAGTACATGATACTGTTTTCCAGTTTTTGAGCCATTTAAATCAAGTCTGCTTTTTTTTCTACTTGTATTTGTTTTTACTTACCATGTATTACTCTTTTTCTTTGCCGATATTCCTTCTTGCTTTTCAAGCACTCCACCTGTAGCCACTAAGTATATTATTGTGGGTCAAAGTCTTCCTGAACCGTTTTGTCCATGATAATAACTTTTTGAAGAGACTGGGCCATATGCCAAACAGAACTGGGAAACTTTGGGGATCGCTGGTGTCAAAAGTATTTTCATAATTCTAAGGTGTTATTTTTCCTTTACACTTTCATTCTTTCATGAGGGTACAGTACAGGTGCCTTGAGCCTATGTGACACAAGACATTGTTGATAAAGCCTGAATACAAAAGCAGATTATTAAGTTACACATTAAAAATATTCTTTTTTAGAGAAATCTTTTCAAAATGCTCTAACAATGTTACCCTTCTCACTAGTTATTTTTGTTTATTTTATCAAGGTTTATTTTGGGGGGAAGCAGGGAGAGAGGGGAAAAAATAAGGAGCTGATACCAAGGGCTCAAGTAGAAAGCAAATGTTTTGAGGATGAGGGCAACAAATGTACAAATGTGCTTGACATACAATAGATGTTTGTACGGATTGTGATGAGTTGTATGAGCCCCCAGTAAAATGATTTAAAAAATTTATTCTCACAAAAGATGTTTATACAATTTATTTTAAAACAAAAATATTAAGATATCTTCCAGCTTGAGATTGTTGTTGTAAAATGACCCACTGTTCTAGGTCAGGGCCCCAAGAAAACAGATTCTGAGATAAAAACTTGTGGCTAGACTTCCGGGAAGATGGCGATGGAGTGACACGTACCAGAGGGACTCCGCAGAATCCAGCCCAGGAGAGCTGCTTAGAGGGAACTTTAACACAACTAGAACACAGGAGGAGCATCATAAAGATAAGTAGGCACAGACCCACGGGGTTTTGAGGGGCTTGGGGCTTTTGGCTTAC